GCACCCATGTTTGAAAAATCCTAGATTCGCCTCTGGTCACAGGAAGGTAGTACTGGAACATGACATCAATTTCATTCCATAGATCCTTCATCTTTGAGTAATAACATGTCACAAAGTCAGTTCTCTGTTTCAAATTTGCAATTTCACTCCACAGATAGTAGATCCTAGTCAAATTCGATCGGTCAAATTGCTCCTTGAATTCTTCCTAGACCTTCCTAGCAGTCAAAGCATAAACTATGCTAGGAACCAATTCAACATAAACAATGCTACCAATCCAGGATAACACGATCACATTGCATTTTCCCCATAATTCCTCCAGTTCTCCTCTAAATTTGCTCTTAGGGCAAGTACCATCTAAAAACCCAAGCTTATACCTTTCCCTTGCAGAGCTAGTTTCATCGATCTACTCCACAGGGAGTAATTATCTAGTCCTGTGAGTTTAATCGGATTTATTACCAGTTCTAGAGAATCAGAAGCTTGAAGGTAGAAAGGGTGATAATGATCAAGTGCTGATGTAGCTGGAGCTGCCATGGATGCAGTAGGTTGGTCCTCTTGCATATCTGCACCTATTGAATAGTTGCGATGAACTCAAAACTCTATGCTCAGCTGGAGGTTATATCGCTACTTTGATACCATATCAATTTTGTGTTTATCTCACAGCACATACATCCGCCATTGATGTGGATTTCTAAGCTTACAGAGGAAATAGAGAAGGAAATGAGAGAAACTGTTTTATTGGATCTGAAAATCATAATTGCAATTACATGTGCTTTTGTACTTATAGAATTAGTTGTTAGCTGTTAGTTGGATCCAGCTGGCAATGATTGTAATTAACCAACTAATCTGTAACTAACTAACTAATTGATTCTCCTAGAAGCAGTTAATTCAATAGGCTACATAACTTAAATCTTAAATAAAATAACTCTCCCGAGAGTTCCAGAAATGCCTATTTACAAGGTTTGCAGTACAAACAATTACCAAATAAGCACAATAAACCAGCCTATATAACCTTGAAACATAATAAACACAACCACGATCGTTGAGTTGAGCTAAAATTAATTTTGACGATTGACAAATAACTATAGAAAAATCAAATCATTTGGAAATATTGATTATATTTCTGAATATTAGATTGCAGACATTGAATGATCTAAATCCTTAGAGAATTAATATTGTTGATCAGAAGTTGCTATGCAGATTCCAAGTACAAGAAGAATTCCTTGAGGATCAAGAAATGCATCAGTGAACAAAGAAAATAGGAGAAAATGTGTGAACAAAGAAAATACGTGCATCAAGGAATATATTACTCCCTCCGTTTCAAAAAGATTGATCTGGTTTGACTTGGCACAAAGTTTAAGAAATTAAAGAAGACTTTTGAATCTTGTGGTCCTAAATTAAAGTTATGTCAAATGTACAAAATTGCCCTTAATCTTGTGGTCTTAAACATGCCACGTGGAAAGCAAAAAGTAAAATGTTACCAAAAAAGGAAAGAGGTACATTTTTTTTGAAACTGACTAAAAAGGAAAGGAGGTTATTCTTTGTGAAACGGAGGGAGTAGTAAACAAAGAAATTTTCTTACACTTTCATGAAAGGAAAGTAGGATAAAATGTGTAGAGGTCGAAACCAAGTTCTACTGGGATTAGATTCCTTCACCAAAGTATGGAAGATGTCATCCATCACCACTCTTATATAACTTACAACATTGATGTTATTGAGGCTTACTCGATTCACACGAATACAACGCTATTCTTGGCAAATAAGAGTGGTTGTGAGGAGTGCATAATATTGAGTGATTCAAACTGATCAACGAGAGAACCTATTCCAGAGGAAGTTACCACTTAGTTCTTGAGTTGGTTAGGTTTGAGTATTTTTTGATTTTTTATTTTAACCTATTTGCTTTCTAGAAGTATTGTAATAGGTGAGAACTCTTTCAAATATGAACTCACTCTATTTGATTGTCAGACCGTCTTAACCCTTAGGCCACTAAAGTCATCGCTTGGTACCCCATATATTTTGGGGCCCCTATTTTTAAAAAACAATTACTTATATATGTGTTTCTTTTATATATATATATATATATATATATATATGCACTATGAGTGTTATGATTTCTTCTAAGAAAATTGCATATGAGATGAAAATAAATCTGAATTTCGTAAGAAACAATTTGATTTGAACCAATTGAAGCATATGAAAATATTTTTGGTTTCTTATTTAGTGGTAAAATATTGAGATCACTAGATGATGAGAATTTAAAAAGTATTGTCTTAACCTTGAACTTTCTTTAACACGTAATAGTTATTCTGATATTGATGGTTTAGATTTATTTTTTGAATTAGTGTTAAGTGAAATAATACAAGTAGAAGATAATGATCTAAAGAAAATACTCAATCAAATAAAAAGACTTGATTCTTTTCCAAATACACATATTGCTTATAGAATAATGTTAACAGTTCCTATAACTATTGCCTCAGCTGAAAGAAGTTTTTTCGAAATTAAAATTGATTAAATCTTCTTTAAGATCAACAATGTCTCAAGAGATATTGAATGAATTAGCTATATTATCATTTGAAAATGAATTATGAAAAAACAAATTGATTATAAAACAGTACCTAATGGCTTTGCATCTAAAATAGCTAGAAAATTAGATTTTAAATAAAAGTATATATGATGAAAAAAGATATTAGGCCCCTCTCTTAAGTTTCGTTTTAGGCCCCCAATGTTGTTGAGTCGACCGTGTTGATTGTGTGCTGCTTAAGTAACTCTCTGTGTAAGTGTGCAAGGTTTTTTGTGAAAACTCTATTGTATTTATAGACATGAGACTTCTTGTTCTTTGAGTTAGAGTCCGTCTTTCTAAGGATTCCTTTTCCTTTTAGGATTTTGTTTGCGGCATTGACTTGAGATTTCTTTCCATGTAGGGATCCTGTATGAAAGGAAACTTTATGCAACTGGATTCTTTTCATAATTGCAATCCATCCACCGCCTTATAACTTCTGCTTTGCGTGGTTGTCCTTCTCCTAATCCCACTCTGACTCGGTATGATAGGAGCATGTTGACGCAAACTGTTCCTTTCATATGTTCCCCTATTTATCAATCATCAATTTTTTTCTCGATCTAACAATCTTCATCAGCACGTTTTCTTTTGACATCTCTCAGAGATATTCGTACAAACAAAAAATAGAGTTATATGTTTAAATTATGAGACATTATGTGGAAAACTAACAAGGTATTTCAGGGAGAAAATATTGATCAAGAGGAGAATCTTAGATAGAGATATAGGAAAGGGACTTACACAAAAATTTCTACATATAAGTATTTCATTTTCTTCAATTTCACTTTGGTTCTTGTTTTGATTACAAAAATCATTATATTTGTCTTGAATTTCTTAATTGATTTTGGTCAAAGTATCAAAAATTAGTTGACTGTTCCAGTATGGAATCCATACCCACACTCACATCTACACTCATGTTGTATTGACACAGATGTGGCATCGAATCTGAATGACTTAGGTAACAATATAGTTATGTGAGTGAATTAAAAATACCTTAGGGGAATAAATACTCACGCACTATGACTGAATAATCCTTAATCATCTATTTATATATGACTAATGACACATGTGAAATCTTTTCCGGTACTTTGAAAAGCTAATCCAAAGACTTACAGACTCACGTGATAGATTTTCTTATTGCCTTTTTCGAATAATTATCTTTTTATGTCAGTATGGTCATTAATTAGTCATACTTAGGTGTGTCAAAATGAGTCTGGTTAATTTGTTCAGAATTTTATGGATTGAGCTCAAGATAATTTGAATTGAATTCATCTCAACTCATTCAATTTTTCAAGTTTGAATCCATTTTAAAAGAATTTTCAATTGAGCCAATTTAATCTTCAATTTCAACCCGTTTTAATATCCTTTATTTGCATTATTGTAATGTATGTCTCCATTTCTATTTCAAGATATTTTAATATCTCCAATTTCAAACCCAATGTTATTTCTATTTCGATCCATTTTAATATCTTTAATTTCAACTCAACCGTTTATTTGACATAATTATTGACTATTTGCAAATTGTACATATGACCTTTCTGAGCATGAATTACTTGTGCCACAAGATAACTTATTTGGTGTACAATTTTGCAGATTCCATCAGCAGAAATATGAATGAGAGAGATGTGATCCCCAATCCTACTCTCAGCTTCTCTAAGAGTACTTACAACTTCGTCCTCAAGGTATGGCATAGATAGTAAACAATCAGCTCTGTTGTTATGTAACATCCGAACATTAAGTCACTGTTCTCATTTCCTTGCTGTCCCATCATGTAAAAGGTATGTCGTTAGAGTGAGTGTAATTTACATAAAGTAAAGGCTCTAAGCTCTGTTCCTTTGACTGATTGTTCGCATCGGATCTCAGGTTCTCAATTGGTCAATGATATTCCACGATCAAGACAATTGGTTAAATTCCGTGAAATCATTTCATAGAAGTTCATTGATATCTTCTTTTGATAAAGTGAAACTGAGTAATACAGCTCCTACTTTCAGCTGGAATGAATTCTTCCAAAGTAAGTGAAGTTCTACAGTACTCCATGTTTCATCTTAGCATCTATTTGGAACCTATGAAAGTTTTCTTTTATCTATGCTTCTATTGACTAAGTTATCCTGTCATATTTCATCTGCGGTATTGTAATTAGTCCATTATTATCACATTCATTTTGGAAGTAAATCTTCTGTGTAACATCGTTTGAAACTCGGCAGTATTTATGCCTTGATTTGCTTTCGTACATCTCTTCCTAATGAAACTATGATAAAAGGGCGTGCAAAGTCTAATATGAACAAGTATAAGTGAACAAATATATGTATCATCACAAAAGAGAAGCACCAAAGTTAATATTTGATGTAACAAAAAGCCAGTTCCTAGTTTGTTTACTCTGATCCAACAGCTTCAAAAGTAAACAAAAGAGGAACTGCTAACAATACATACTGATGATCAAAAATAAAATCTACACGAATCTATACGACATATCATGAGTAGAGTCATTGTATACGAAAGGGTACTGATCCATAGGCTGCACTGTCAAACTTGAACCAATTGCATGAGTAGAGTCGTTGTACATGAAAGGGTACTGATCCATAGGTTGTATTGTCGAACTTGAACCAATTCCATTATTCCCCATAGGCTGCATTGTCGAACTTGAACCAATTCCATTATCCCCTATAGGCTGCATTGTCGAACTTGAAGCAATATCCCGAGTAGAGTCATTGTATATGAAAGGGTACTGATCCATAGGCTGCATTGTCATTGTCGAACTCGAACCAATTCCATTATTCCCCATATGTTGCATTGTCAAAGTTGAACCAATCTCATTATTCCCCATAAGTTGCATTGTCGAAGTTGAACCAATCCCATAATTATTCCCCATAGGCTGCATTGTCGAACTTGAACCAATTCCAACATTTGCAGACCAGTTTTCAGCCTCAATCATCTTAGAATAATTTGCATTGCAAAATTGATAATCCTCGATAGTAAGAAGCCCATTATCCATCCCTGCTCCCATTGAATTCACACCACTAATTGGAATATTTGATTGAAAGAAGTTGTTATAATCGGTGAAAGAATTCACATTAGAAATAGGCCACAGAGACAGAGTAGTTTGGTTCATCAAGTTGTTGTCCCATATTTGTTGATGAGAAACTGAGCAACTTCCAATATGAACATTCATGCTCTTCAACAATTCTATTTTTCCTTTTGCCTTCTCCATCTTTTTCTCAACAACACCAGCAAGATTTTGCAATTCTTTTTCAGATAAATAGTCAAATCTTGAATCCCAAGTGGGATACTTTTCTACTTTGATCTCAACCTTCTTCTTTTCATCATTTTCGAAATAGTCAAATCTTGAATCCCAAGTGGAAGGATCCTTTTCTACTTTGATCTCAGCCCTTTTCTTTTCATCATCTTCGAAATAGTTGGACAAGGTCTTACCCCTTTTGCTTCGGCCTTGGAATGGTTGGTTTTTGTAGAAATCTATTAGCTCTGTAACTTCATTTGGATCATTCGGCCACATTTGATGATTATCTCCTTCGTGTATGATCATGCATGCTTTGATATCGCAAAGTATTGAGAGTTCCGAAATTTTCTTGACTAAGCCAGCCTTCCGTGTCACTAAAGTTGTCATCCTCTTCTTGTGATTTTGAATAAGTTCCATTTTGATTTTTGTTCTTCCCATTTTATCTGCACTTCAAGAAAATACACATACATGTATGATTAATTCATACAAAACTTGAAGAACGTAACATGAATTCATATTATATTACTCCACCAAATAAAGTTCAAAGAAAGAAATAATGAATTTAGCAGATGAATCAAAGCTTCAAAATAGCAATAACATAACACTTAAAACTATGAAATATGGAAAAGAAAAGAAAATTACCAGGAGTTACTTGTTCTACAAGTATGGACAACTGTTGCCATATATATATAACAAGTTTGACGCGTCCGATTCTTCTTTTTTAGAAACTATACTAATTATTATTATTACTATAATTATAACTACCTATTTTTTAAGGAATTACTACTCAGTTTATAAAAATGTGTGAATACTTCTTCCACCGCTCTTCTTACCCTATTTTTATAGGAATTGCTCAGTTTATAAAAATATTATTATTTGATTTTGTGTGTATGTGGTACTTGGCCTATTGATTTGAAGTTAAAATTTTAATTTGAATTTCTTTTAAGTTACATATTACTTTTTTTCATAAACATAGAAATCTCAGAATTTGTAGAAACTATCAAAACTTCTCCAACTCTTATACAATTTTACAAAATGAAACATAATTAATACTAATAATGTATCAAAATCTCCTAATTAAGTTGTTGAATTAATAAATCACATGTTCATTTTATAAGTATATATTTGGCTATGGACGGTTTCGGGAGAGATAGAGGTATACCGAAAAAATATTGGTGAAAAGCGATTAAACAAGATATGCATGTCGCAATTTCAACTTACCGACTTGAATTAAGCTAGAAGGTTAGAAGGTAGCAGTGTGCTGTCTTGTTGTCCATTCATGTTATCATTCGTAGTATTGCTTTTGTAGTTTCTTACCCTTCTAATTTTATTACTATATGTTGATTCCTTGTACCTTTCCTCTTGTATTATTGTACTGTAGTTTTGGTTATGTTACTATCTGTTGTTTTTGTTATTAGCTAATGTTTTCTTGTACTTCTATTATTTCTTTTGTTGAAATGCTTTGGACTATTTATTCTTGAGCCGAAGATTTATTGGAAACAACTTCTCTATCTCTGAGAGAGAGGTGAAGTCAGCTAACACTCTATCCTATCCAAACTTCACTTGGTGGGATTACACTTGACAAGTTGTTTGTTTATGAAATGTGAACAGAAATTTTCAACTTCAATTTCAAATTATGATTTGAAATTCCAAATTCTCCAAAAAGTAGAATTTCAACCCCAGAAGTTAACTCATATAAACAGACCATCAGTCTATCCCTCAATTGGTTGGGACTCTAATAACTCTTAACATTTCTGAAACAAATTATCATGAATTAGATCACAACTTACTTGAATATAAAGTTTTTGCAAATTTGGGGCACTTCTAAGCAAGCAAATAAGAGCAAAATACAATGATTTTGAAGGCAAAATACAAGCTTGATTAATAGCAAAAAACTGAAATGTAAAGACATGTACAAGTATTTCAGAAGCACTAACCTGCAGAAACTTGCTCTTTTTCACTCATTTATTATACTTACTAAATTCATGCACATAAACATTTATTACTCATTTACTAGTACTTTGCTACCCATCCATACATAGAGAATATTCATATATTCTTCATGAAATCAACTTCATTCTTTACTCAGTTTGTTTCAATTTTTGTGAAGTTATTCTTTTTTTAAGTAATTCTCTATTCAAGGTATGCTTAGGGCTAGATTTTTATTAATAAATAAAAAAGGATCTCAAATAGAAAAATTCAAGTAAAGGCTGTTGGGTTCGAAAGTGATTAGGCGTCATACGGAAGCTTACATTTGCAAATTATATGATGATAAATCGGATGACAAATAAAAGCATAATAATTACCAGATTACGAAGGAAGAAAAAATTAATGAATTTAGCAGATGAATCAAACCTTCAGAATTAACTAATGTGATTTAGTTGTATGCGAATAGCAATGAAATATGAAAAAGAAAAGAAAAGAAAATTACCAGGAACTAATACTTGTTCTTGTATGGCCAACTGTTGCCATAATTATTATATATAATAAGTTTCACGCGTCGGTTTCTTTGTTTTTTAGAAATCATACTAATTATTATTATTATAAGAATGTTTGTAATATAATTATAATTATAATTACCTACTTTTTTAGGAATTACTAAGTTTATAAAAATATGTGAATACTTCTTCCACCGCTTTTCTTACCCTATTTTTATAGGAATTACTCAGTTTATAAAAATATTATTATTTGATTTTGTCTGTGTGGTACTTGCCCATTGATTTGAAGGTAAAATTTTAATTTGAATTTCTTAAGTTACATATTATTTTTTCTCATAAATATAAAATCTCACGGTTTGTAGAAACTATCAAAACTTCTTCAACTCTTACACAATTTTACAAAATGATCGAAAAGTAATTAATAATAATGTATCAAAATATCCTAAGTTGTTGAATTAATAAATCACATATTTTTATGTTTATTTATAAGTAAATACTTTACTATGAATGATTTTAGAAAAGGTAGAAATATATGGGAAATAAATTGTCTTGTTTTCTTGTTTTAGTACTCCCTCTGTCTCTAATTACTTGTTCAATTTTTTTTTACTTGTCCTTTTGACAAATCAAGAAAGGACAATTTTTTTAAGCTATTATACCCTTAATTAATTACTTTGAAAAATGTAGAACTTCTTGAAAATCTTAAATTTTTAATTCATTTACTTCATACTCCCTCCATCCACAATTGTTTGGCAGGTATACTAAAAATCGATGTCCAAGATTAATTGTCAATTTAAACAATCAAGAAATAATTAGTCATTTTTTCCCAATTCTGCCCTTAATGATAGTGTAGTTCAATTGAAAAGTTATGTAGATTTTTGGTATTCTTGGTATAGTAGGGTTATATTAGTCAAATTACACCTTGTATTAAATTTTCCTTAAGGGATGTGCATGACTTTATCCTGACAAACAATTGTGGACGGAGGGAGTAATTAATAAAGATAAAATGATAAACTTACTATGTCAATCATTATTTTTTTAATAGGCATGTCAATTAAAAAGTGGACATTTATTTATTACTCATGTAGTAGTACTTCGCTACCCATCCATGCATAGAGAATATTCTTATATTCTTCATGAAATCAACTTCATTCTTTACTCAAAACTGTTTCAATTTTTGTGAATATATTTTGTATGGACACAAAATTTCAAACGAAAATGACGATTTTTAAATATGTCAAAATTTATATGTGGCTATAAAAACTTCTAAAAAATATGATCTTAACTATGACATCATATTTGTGTGATTATAAAAAAAAAATTAATTTAAATTAAATTATTTTCAAATTTAGAAAGAAATCATTCTTTTAAAATGAATTAAAGAGTAAATAGGTTCACATGCATTGAAACATATGAGTATTGAAATTTGAACTCCCATGTCATATACATAATTGTACTTGTGTTCATGTTTCCGCTCCATTTAAAATTCATTTATTAACGGTTTGTTAGAAAATCACCCATATTATTAGAGTTTGAGTTTTGTGCATCGTTAGTGTATCTTTTTTTACACTATCGGCTAATGTTGACTTGCTATGGCAAGTTACCAATTTATTTCTAATTAATTCTATTTTAGAAATTACATTTTTTCCTTTTCTTTCTTTCCTCTTAAGAGTTCATCGTCTTCCTCAATCTCTCAACTAGTACTTGTCCCATAAATCATTCACTATTTCCTTATCTCTCTTAATTAATCTCTTGAAATCTTAAATGGTGAATAGCCAAATGATTTGATTTTTATCAATAAAATTGAAGTCAATTGACTCTACATCATCTCTTGTATCTTTTTTTTAAAAATAAATAAATTATAACCGTATGATGGTGAGACCTTTATATTGATGAGTAAAATCACAAAGCTAAGGAGAGTTTAAGCTCGGTCCATTGTTCCAATAGCTGCTTTGCCAAACTAAGGTTCTAACAAAAACTATGCAAGTTTTGCACAAATTTATAAGTCCTGCGTGATAGACAAAATTAGCTATAACATCTCAACTGGATTAGCTCTATAAAAAATAATTCTTCCTCTACTTATGCCTTAGGAACTCCATTTGTATGAGATCAAGTTTGTAAGGTCCGATGTCTATCGATGGTAGGTGAGCATATGCAAAAATAACCAACTTCTCATTTGTAATACTTCATTTTGCCAAGGCATCTGCAATTGGTTGGCTTCCCTATAACAATGTTGTCCTCGCAAGTAATAGTACGTGAAATATTTTGAATACCAGTAATGATATTATTCATTTGCCAAGGGATATTGTAATTATCTTTGATCATCTCAACAACTATCTTTGAATCGCATTCTAAGGACAATGTTTAGGAATGTGTATATATCTGAGCAGAGGCGTATCAAGGATTTCCGCAAGATGGGTGCACAATTACAAAAAAATGTATCTTAAATATAAATTTGATTGGTTTGACTTTTAGGTTTTTAATATGAACCATTAAATTTTAAAAATTATAGGTCCAAAACATATAATGCTACTAGTTTTAAATTTTAATATACACATTTGATTTAATTATATAAAAAATTTACAGTGCTAATTTTTTTTTGGAATTTTCAATGTAGCACACTTGAAAATTTTGAAAGATTAAAGGAAAAAAACGAAAGAATAATTTGTTGAAACGCCAAAAGTGTAACCAATAACCACTTAGAGAGGTGTTAGTAAAAGAAAAGATAGATATAAGATTTAAATTTCTATCCTCACTTAGAGGGGTGCACCCAATCATCATTGTATTATTATATGATACTTTGAACGTGGATTCACACATCTATATTTAAATATTTTATAAAAAATATAATACTACTATATATTATCTAGAGAGGGGAGCATGGGTTCACGTGAACCCACGACACCCCCTCTAGATACGCCCCTATATCTGAGTTCATCAGTTTTATTACTAGCGAGTAAGCTTCTATTTCGTCTTCGTCTGTACCTGAAATGCAGTAACGCGAATTTTATAGTAAGTTAATACTAAATCATAAAGATCACTATGTCAACTGAGGCTTTGTGGCATTGTACTGCGTAAGTTGGGAGAGTTGGCAAAATAGCCACTCTAAAGACTTAATGTGACATTAAGGGGTCGTTTGGTACAAATATTGATAATGCCGGGATTAGTAACACAAGGATTAGTGATGCATGGATTAATAATGCAGGAATTATTTTTTGTCAAGTGTTTGGTTCACTACTTTCCACTTAATTTTGTGTTTGATTTAAAATTCTACAAAAAATTTCTTTCCTATTATACCCTTGTGTTATTATGAGTGTTTATTTCATGTAATTGAGTCAAGGTAGATAACCGCCGGACCAGACTTTTTTTTTGTAGGATTTTTTATTTCATTTAATTAGTTAAATCAAATATGTGTGTGTGCGCGAAAATTGTTATTAATTATAAGGTGTGATGTACTACTAAGAATTAAGATCATTAATGGCACAATGTATTTCTATTTTTTTGTTGGTCAAGTATATCTCAATCTTAACATAGATTTAAGACTACTTAAATTGTTCAATACCTAAAGCTTTTTTTTTTTTAAAAAAAAAAAACAAATAGTTCAAGCGGGTAATCGACAAACTATCTTGAATAAAAAAACTTCAAGAAAAAATGGAGAAAAAAATATTAGTTAAATCATTAATTTACACCAAACGGATTGGAGAATTAAAAAAGAACATTTATAACCATTCCAATATAAATAAAAAGGAAATTAAATTACACAATAAATTTAGGAAAAGGAATAAGGGGTTGGTTTAGTCATTTAGGGGTCTTATCTAAGGTTTAACAAACCTTGGATTAGTTATCCCTCCATTTTCTAGGGATAAGATAAGACCACATATGGTGGATAAGCAATCCATGGATTAAATTAAATGAAGTAACCAAATAATGTATTAGATGGACTAAAATTTAATCCATGGATTATTCTATCTAATACCGCCTACCAAATGGGTCCTAAGTCACAAGTCTTGAAAAATTAGTGGTATACCCACTAATAATGACATCATCCATGTGCCCTACTTGGGACATAAAAAACACTCTCCTAAGTTTCCATATCTCCACTTTGGTCACCCCTTCTTTTCCAACAAATATGGAATAATATATCTATTTCCAATGTTTAAAATTATTTTAGAAAAAGAAAAAGTCTCCAACAAGTAGCTCATTTTTGTTGCTATTTTTCGATTCCGGTGACTTTTCCAGCCATATTATCCACTTCAAAGGTAAAATCATCATCATCTCCTACTCCATTTTTACTTCATTTTATTTCAAAAATCAAGCTTCAAAATGATTTTTCCGCCATTTTAGAAATTTGAGAAATCTTTCATAATTAGTTGATAACTCAGTAGTAGATACATTTCTTTAGTTTAAAAGCATTAAAAAATCGTTTCGCCATTACAAGAGCTGAATTTTGTACCCCGATCTCATCCAGCCACGTTTTTGTATGGATTTCGTACTTCATAGATCATTAAAGACCGATACTGTAATCTAGTATCGATATTTGTAGTCTATAATGGCAGTAGCTGAATTTGTTGTAGTTGGTGGAGATTATATGGGAGTATGGGAGGAGATTTATAAAAGCTGGAATTGGAAATCTTTTAGTAAGACGATAGTGCCCAATGCATTACGTCGCAATGGTTCATATGACGATATGATTGCAAGCGTAATTGAGGTCGGTGAGTTAACTTGCGGGCCAAATTACTTGGTGATTTACTATCAAATGAATGGGAGGGGAAAAATACATCCCACATTCATAAAAAAATGATCGGCATGTTAGCTTGTACATGTTAGATATTGGTATTGATGGCTCTAGGCCTACATTGAGGATAAACGTCAATGCGAGGCCTCCAATTGAACCAACAAATTCATTTAACAACGACAATGATTCTATTGGAAATGAAAAATTGGGTGATCATTCAAAGGAGAGCTTGGGTAATCATTCAAATGAGAGTTTGGGTGATAATTCAATGAATATACATGATCATCCAATGAATGTGGAAAATCAGCTAGTAGATGCGAAAGATCCCAAACGCGAATATTGTGAAGAAATGCAGGGAGAACAGGAATTGAGATCACAATCCAACCATTCCTTCTCCGATGAAACTAATTTATGCATAAATCAAACTTTCATTAACAAGAATGAGTTGCAATTGTTATTAGCCGAAGGGACGGCAAAGAAGTCTTTTGATTTTGCTACTTTGAGGAGTTGTACTATTTAAAGGTGAAATGTGTATCTCACAACTGTGCATGGATGTTGCGGGTGAGGAAATATGAGTGTTCGGATAGATTTCGTATCTACAAGTACATTGGCGAGCATAGTTGTGGCGTTGAACATGCCAACAGTAGCCATAGAAAAATCTCAATCAAAGTCATTACCTCACTTTGTGTAAATATGTATCGTGATGGCAAGGGTCCAAATGTTAAAGAGATTCAAAGGGCTATGTTTAATTCTTTTCGTTGTAGTCTAAGCTATTAGAAATGTTGGAAGAGAGGTATGGTTGCCAAGGAAATGGTCTGAGGGACAGCGGAGAACAGATATTCATGCTTACCGGCTTTTCCTACATGATCGAGACACTTAATGTTTGTTCTAGCTATTCTATCATGGTAAACAAGGATAGTCATAGGTTCATGTATTATTTCTTGGCCTTTGGTGCTTGCATTAAGGGATTTGCCCACATGAGAAAGGTAATTGCGGTCAATCGCACTCATTTACATGGTAAATACGAGGGCATGTTGTTGAGCGTTGTGGCACAAGATATAGAAAATCATGTCTATCCAATTGCTTTTAGTATTGTGGACAAAGAGAATAATGCATCTTGGACATTCTTTTTTGATAAATTGAAGGAGATTGTGGTCGATGAACTAGGTTTGTGTTTTATCTCCGATAGACATAAGAGCATCACCAACTGTATTGTGAACGTTTACAATCATGCTCACCACGGATATTGTATGAGGCACCTCGATGAAAATCTCCGTGTAAATCATCATTGTGGAGATTACCTTTATCTTTACTACAATGCGGCAAAGGCTTATTCCTTGGAGAAGTTTGACAATCATTTTGTAGAATTCAAGAACACATGTCCTGCGGTAGCCGTCGTCCTTGAGTATGATATTGTTTTTGAGAAGTGGAGCAGGACACATTTTTCTGGCAATAGATATGATGTGATGACCACAAATATCGCCGAGTCACTCAATGCTATATTGATAGATGAAATGGAGTATCCCGTGGCATCAATATTTAATTCGATTGCTAAGAATTTTGGAGAATTATTCAGGGAGAGGCATGCATATATCCTCAAATCAATGGGAATCAATGGGTAATAAAATGGTGCCTGCTGTCGTAAAACTTGCAAGAAAAAAATGATCGAGGGCGACTCCTTATATGGGGAGAACGTAACCGGGGACGGCAATCAATTTACCGTGTTCCGTGCAGGTGTTACTACCTATGTGGACCTACTAGAAAAGTCATGTTGTTGTATAGAATATGACTTGATCAAGATACCTTGTGCTCACGCGATGACCTCTTTGCGATCGAAGCATGGCAATGAGTATGATATGAGCATTTATGAGTACTCTTCGCCTTTGTATAAAGTTGAATCATACCTCCTTGCATACTTAGATTTTATTAATGTTGCCCCTCTCGAGTCGAAATGGTGTGTGCCAGAAGAATTGCTTAATGTGAAGATTCTTCCGCCTCTTGTTGATACCAAGCTTGGAAGAAAACGAAGAAAATGTGTCAAAGGTGTCGGTGAGAATTTCAAAAGCAAGAGAAGGAACAAATGTTCAATTTACAAGAGAACCAGACACACAAGAGAACCACATATGTGAACAACAACAAATCTTAATTAAGCTTTGTTGAATTTGTTGATTGAATTTGTTTTTGTAATCGTTTTTGTAACCAAACTACTATTTTTTTGGCTGCCAGCATTTTGGTCAATTTATTGTCAGCTATTATCGTAATTATTCATGATCTAATATAGATCAATCAAAAGATGACATATATTTTGCACACTGTTTATTAATGTTTGTTATCGAGTCCAGTCATTGTGTATTAAGTTGTGTATTATTAATATATGAAAATTCATGGTATTCGTAATGCAATGATTTTAATGCATGAATTAGAATATGATTAAAGAAGGAAGTGCTCTAAAAAAATCAAAATATTTTGTACTAAAATTGTGACTATTTTTAATGCACCAAATCAAACAATGCTTAAGAAATAATCTAAGTATAACTAATCCAACTATAACTAATACAAGCATTATTTGCATATACACTCTACCAAACGAATCCTTAAAGAATTGTCAAAAAAACCAGATGTTACCATTGAAAAAAGTAGCAATTTGAACTTTTTTTTATCATTGTAAAATTTGTATATCTAAATATTTACTGGTTATCAAAATATATAAACCGTTTATACAATCGATACATCTCTATGTCCGTGGTGTATGTATGACCAATGAGATTTACACGCGAACATTTGTAAGGTATATTTGGGTTTATATCTATGTTAAAGCATTGACGATACTTCACCTACTAGAATCTGACACTTTTATATAGACCAAAACTAGTAGAATTTAAAAAAGATAACAATTAATTAATACTCCCTCCGTCCCTTTTTAGTTGTCCACTTTAGAAAATGGCACACAGATTAAGGCAACAATGATTAGCACAGTGAAGTTACAATTTTACCCTTATGACAACTTTTCACTTCAAAATTACAACCACTTATTTGAATTCAAGTGAAATAATTGGAGGGAAACAACATACACTTTTACAATTTTCAAGAAGTGTAAATAAGGGTATAATAGGAAAAAATTTGTTGTCCTTTCTTGATTTGTCAAAATGGACAACTAAATAGGGACAACCAAAAAAGGAAATATGGACAAGTAAATAGGGACGGAGGGAGTAATAAATTATATTTTTGAAATTTATCCAATTAAATAAGTTTAAACAAGTCATATGATCATGTAAGAGTGCACATAAATTTGGTGTGGTGCATAGTGATGTACGAGGAAGAATTGTGGTTATACAATCAACATCCTTAGAACAATGTTTGAGAAAATATAAGTATGTTATGAGGATGTCACTTGTTCAACCACACGTTTTGATTGCCACCCCAATTTATGTGGGCTCATACATGATCACATGCTTATGCTAGATGTTGATTGTATAACCACACATAACTATTCCTCATTCATACTTGTGCTTTCTTCACACATTAGTTTGAAGATGTTGATTGTATAACTACAGCTCTTTCTCATACATCATTTATCTCCACCCCAATGTACGTGGACCCTTACATTACTTTTTAAAACTTATTTAATTGAATAAATTTCAATAATATTGTTTATTATTAGTTAATCATTCTCCCTTTTAAATTATACTAGCTACGGTCTATATTTAAGTGTCATATTCTAGTAGGTGCAATATAAATCATTTTTGGATCATGATATCAACCCGTATATACCTTATTAGTGTTGAAGTGTAGATGTCGTTGGTACAATCTAAACCAAGCACATGAAAAAATATCGACTATCTTAATTATCTATATATTTGGCCAACAGTGACAATACTCAATTATCCAAGTTTTACAACGGTAACTAAGTACAAATTGCTACATTTCAACGGTAAAGTTTGCTTTTTTAGTGTATAAAAAGAAGGATTCATGAACTCTTCCATCCTATTCTATTTTAAAATACTTAAACATCTCTTTTTATTATGTCTCAAGCATCTCAAACATCCAATGTAAAAAAGTCTTACGTTTGTCGTTGTGGTAATTTAGCTATGTTGAGGATGTCACACACCGATTCGAACCCAGGTCGAAAATTCTTTAACTGTGCAATTGGTGCATGCTCTTTTTTTAAGTGGCTTGAAAATGATTCATCAACGAGAAACCCATCAAAATTGAGTCCGGGACTCGAGACATCAAATTTTTAAGGTGTTACCAAAATTCAAATATTAGAAAGGCTTCGAGACTCCGAAGAAAATAGGGATTTGCTATTGAGTTTAGAATAAAAAGGCCGAAGAGCAGAGGGATCACTTTACATGATTGCTAAAAGACACCGAAAGAGATAGAGATCAACTAAAACAAAAGTTGATATTGACTAAAGAAAAAGAGAAAGGCCAAAAAATAATATTGTATGGTTTGTTGATAGTGGTTGCTTTTTGGAAATGTGTAACATGGATGCAGTAGTACAGTCTATTAATAAATGAAGTATTTTTGAAATTGGTAAGACAATGCATTATATATACAATTTAAAGTCGACAACTGGCAACAATATCCATCAAAACAAAAATAACATTTACATGATCTAACTGTCTTAAATATCACTTCAAAAACCAACTACTTCACCCACCAAAAACTAATTATCTTAAAAACCATTTGTCTTAAAACCCACTTCAAAAACCAATTGTCTTAAAAAATTAATATCACAAATACCTTACTCATCACCATTTAGCTCACCATTGATCTCCATAACAATACTCATCACGTCCACTTAATTTTCATCACTGCTTTCTTTTCCCTCTTCTGCCAAACCTTCATCTACCTTCTCTTCCAGGTTCTCATGTTCTTTTTCTTCTTCTTCCTTCTCTTCGATCTTGTTATGCCTTGAGCCTACACCCTGGCGGGACTGGCACTCGAGAACCATTGTTGGCCCTAAGAGAACTCTTGGCCTGACTTTCTTACTCAGTGAAAGACTTTACTCAAGATAAATACTTATAAAATAGTACACTAAGCTGCTCAATAAATAACTGAGAATGTAATAAATAACATTCACTGCCAAAGTGGCAACTCAAGTCTCAACTTAACTAAAAAGGAAAAGCAAAGACTCATGAACTTAAATCAACTAACTTTGTCTATGAAGCCTCTAAACTCTGAGGGATGTCGGGACAAGACCCCAAATCATCCTAACAACTGAAATAAGCAAGTAATAAAACAAAACATAACCAAAGGGATCCTCCGAATAGCAAGGAGGCTCACCAACTGACTTTGAGTGCTCAATGGATCAACGATGCACTGGATGCTGATCCCGGTTACCTGTGTCTGCATCATAAGTCAAATGGCATTAGTACATTGAATGTACGAGTATGCGAGGGGAATGCTAAAACAAGACATAAGCTTGAAAGGAACTGAAGAACTTACTTGGCTCAACTTAACTCAACATAACTGAACTCATTTCAATACACAACAGTTTAAAACAAGTGCAATATAAGAAAAAGTTGTTTAAAACATGATCTCAACTCTGTGTGTATGCAAAGATATATATAACTCTGAAATGTATGTAAAAATACAATAAACTATGTATATAAGAATGCAATTACTTCTATGAGAGTTTCTCTAATCAACAACCATCACTTAAGAGCTATTGTGATGATACAACATTTTGCCTCACGCTGCCAGGGTCGTCCTATACCTTGCCGAGGGTATGGTACCTGAACTACTAAGTGGATCCACTAGTGTAAAGCACTAAAGGAATCATCTAAAAAGCATGACCCTTTTCTACCCATGATGGCTACATGCTTTATGTGGGCTGTGAGTTGTCTGAACTCTCCCCCATATCGGTGCTCAATACTACTCCCAAAATATAATATTAGATCTTATATTTAAAAACATACTTCTTTCTGTGGTTTAAGATAATTGCTCAAAACTTAGCTCAAAGGCTATCTTGGAAATCAAAGTTTCCCTTCTTGCTTAATTTTGAAAACATTTACTCTTTTCTGAAAACTAGCTCAAAGGCTCTTTGAAAATCAAAGTTTCCTTACTTGTTTAAATGTGAAAACATTTTAAACTATTTGGGCATACATAGTCCCCATATACTTTTGAAGAAATGAACTTCAACTTTACTCTTTACTGAACTGAAAACTCAAGTCTTAAAACAAAGTTAAATCATTTGTAAAATACTTTTGGAAGACTCTATGAACTTCTCTTGACGTGGCTGTTAACTTCTCTTGACTTGACTCTTAACTGATCCTTGAATTGAATAATGGATTCAAGGATTGAGATTTGTGATAGGAAAGATCTCGTGATGTTTAGGGGTGTTTTTAGATAGTTAAACACGAGAAAAGATCAAGAAATCACTGCCTGAAAGCTGGTCCACGAAGCGGAGGTGTATTAAAAGTTTTGGTCGCGAAAATAAATTTTGAGGCAGAATGGTCCGTGACCGCTCCGCGACAAGAAGAACAAATTGTCAATTCTGAGGAACAGGTCCACATTGATACCCAGATTCTACCGACTTGTTCCTTCTTTGTTTTCTAACCCCAAATCGCCTAAATTAGATTCTTTTTCTCTAATTCTCTTTAGATTCAAATACCCAACA